GTGTTGCAGTTGAGCAGATTACGATTAATATGCGGACTTGAGACCGAACTAAAACGATGGAAAGTGTGGTAGCAATACACTTTGGCGATTATCGAATTGAGCTCACACACATATATATATATATATATATATATGGATCATCGATGAAACTAACATCTTGAGGTGGTCCTTTCTTCCCTCGCACAAATTCATACAAAAACAGGACATAAAGCTTGGACACGGCCCTCCCTCCGAAAAGGAGGTGGCGCATATTCTGTCCAAAGTCAAGGAAGGAACGGACACGGCTCAACAGTTCCTGGGGACACTCCTGGATAAATGTCTAGTAGAGAAACCCACCCCACAGTGTATAGGTGCCTGGGCTCGGGTCTGTGCTGTGGTGAATGAGACCCAGTTCTTGAATGTCCCATATCTGCGCTGGGTGAGGTAGGTTGGGTGCAAAAGGCCCCAAATGTATATTTCAGGTGCAGTCGTGTGTCGAGTCGGTCGTAATTGTTTGATAGAATAGTTGCAGAGAAAATCTTATTCATTGTATGTGGGTGCGTGGTTCAATTCTGTGCGGCGATGAATGAGACCCAATTCTCGAGTATATGAGCCAGGTTGGGGGCCAAACGGCCCTAAATATGTATTTAAGGTGCAGCTTTACATCGAGTTGGTCGTGTTTGGCGCATAAAGTAGTTCGTAGATTGATATCTGGGAAGGTCACCCAACTTCAAGTGTTTACGCGTTCCGGCTGATGTCTGAGTTGTGGTATTTAGAAGCAACTTGATTATTGCCCTGACTCGGCGGTATTTAAACAGGCTGACTGCGAACAGCCTTGATGTTCGGAGGAGGCTTACAATCGTTAATAGTTTACTGTATTTGGCAGACGTACAGTTTCTATACGCCACCTTCCGCATGGGCACAAGGTACTGATATTTGCGACACGGTCAGTGTCATACTATACCTCACATATAATGTCGTATATTAAATCCACACCATAGGGCTTGTGACCACATAGTATGTCCGACCGTAAACAGGGCTGTCCCTTCCGTCAGACTCGTGGTGTCATATACTGTCGGATTTAATGTCGTATGCATATATAAGACTCATGGTGTCCTAAACTGTCGTATTTAATGTCGGATGTATATATAAACAGGAGCAAGCTGGATGAAATAGCGGCCAATGACACAGAGAGCATGTCCGATCACCCTGTGCGTGTGTGGCAGATGTGTGTGCACTTGTGTGC